ATATACCACTGCCGCATTACAATAATTCATCATTTTGAATTTCTTAGTGTTTTTCAAATATATTTAATTGAAAGTACCAAGATGAATGGAAGATTAAAATATAAAATTTTAATACAGGAATCAGTTAGCTATTTTATTTAACTAAAGTCTTTACCTTTTATTTTCTCACAAATGAATGACATTTCTGAGGAAGGTTTATTCCCGAAACTGCTGCCACGATGGAGTGATCAACTACAAAATACAATTTACCTAAAAGCAAATTAGACTGTTTCTTCCCATTTGCTGAAAACTTCTTGGAATGTTCTCTACTTGTCTTTTTTTGAGATGAAATTTCCATTCATAACCTGGCATGCAGCTACGTACCTTTTTAAAAAAATACTTAGTATATGGACTATATGGGTCCATTGGGGGGGGGAGATATTAGAAGTTCTTGTGGCATAGGGAGCTGAGTGGGAAGCAAGGATAGCATCTTTGCACTCACTGGTGTCCATAATAAAAAAACATCTACCATAAGCAGGGCTTTTTTTCCCTCATAGAATGCCCAGAACAGAGTTCTGGCACCTTTTTGGGATGGAACCTTGTAGGGTAGACAAGGCGGGTTGTATGACATGTGTGAGTTAAGGCACTTTTTTTTTTTTTTAGAAAAAAAGCACTGTCCATAAGAATAACATTGCAACACACATATATATCAGGATTTTTTAAAAAAAAAATCTACTAAACGTTACACTAGCCATGACTACTTATAACCAAGTAATTCTAAAACATCTAGAAGAAAAATTCAAGGCAGGTGAGAGGAAGGAAGGTAGGTAGGTAGGTCATGGGGAGCAAAGAGATTTTAAACAATAACTTTGGTTCTTTTCAACTCCTTAAACTGACTTATTCAAGTATGGGTTCAGTATGTGTTAAGTGAGATATGGAGTTTATAGAGGTATGTTTATTGATATTAGAAATGAACGTACACACATCTTCCATACAGGTTTCTTCATGCTATTTTTAATTTTTTCTTATGTATTTTAGCTCAAGAATATGCCATCCCTATATTAATATCTTTGTACAGCTGGAAAGCTGAGAAATAAAAGCTGTACATTTGTTGCTATCTCTTAAAATTTTAGTAATATTTAGTCTAATACACCATCTGCTGGCCAGTGATTATTTTGCAATAGGGATAGAAGAGATAACATTAGTGAAGTTGATATCTAGTCTGACATTTATTTTCCTCTGCTAAACTTTTTTTGTATTATTGATAAAATAGCAAATTCAAGAAATGAATTAGTTTAATACTAATAGTTTAAAATGGCTGCCTTATTCTTTAATCAACAAATAGAATTATAGCAGATAGTTATCTTTTCAGAACTTGGGACACCTATTTTCAGTATCTGAAGGGTACGAGAGCAGAGTTTAGCAAAGATGTTGTTACATCTCTTTTTATAATTGGTTTGATATATTTCTTTAAGATGATCAGATTGAGCCACACAAGCCCACAAGAGATTTAAGTCCAGCTCATCTTGAATTCTATTGACTTTTATCTCTCCCAATTTAGTAGTTCAGATTTTTGTAGCGCTTAAGCTTGCAATAAACTTATATATTCATTTGAAGTCTGAACTCCTTATTTCCTGCACTTGATAATTTCATAATAAATTTGTAATAAGATAAATTTGTAAGAACAAGAAACAGCACATCTTTCAAATGAATTGCTTATTTGATTTTTAAAACATCTCTAGTCCCTACAACCATCTTAAAAACATTTGTGATTGTGGATCCAAAATTGAAGCTTTTTATATTATTAATCTTAATGTGTACATGTTGCCCTAGACTCTCAGCAGCGCTGGATGACTTATAAATTGTGAAAAATATTTAAAAACAAGGAAACTACAAAACCCCAAATAGATATGACAGATAAAACAAACCCAAATGGGAACAAGGAAAAGAAAGGGCATAATACAAAATGCAAGATAAGACACAATGTCTATTAGCTGGACATTGCCTATACATGGAAATTTGTACCCATTAGGATCCATTTACCTTTGTTCTTGGGAATGCTGCATGAATTGTCTTGTGATACTTAGATTATTGGCATGCAAGTTGTCAGCATTCTTTCAAGTCCTCTATTGAAGCTTATTTTTTTTCCTACAATATAGAGTATAGAAATTTTTGGCAATACATTTTTTTGAAGATACTGTTTGTAATCCTTCACTTCAAGAGAACCTTGAGTGAAGCACTCCCTCAGTGCTTTTTAGCAAAATGACCACATTGATTTCTCCTTTTTTCTGAAGCCTCTCAGGCAGTTCCAATAGCTGGGGAAATATCAATTCATCCACTTTAGACAAGATCACCATGAATACCTTCACTTCAAATCAATGAGGAATGTTATCTTTGCAGTACAAAGGACTTTACCAAGACAAATACAAGTCGTTTCACATAGGCCTATTGGTTTATCTAAAGCTTCTCTGAGAAACAGTCTAATAATTCTGGGTTGTTCTTTTTTCAAATTTCCCCAATTTTCCCAGCATCATGAAATTTTGAAAAACTCAGAAAAGTGCGTTTTGTTATTTTGCTTTACCCTTATATAGAATTTCAGATTTCAGAACCACTAGATTAAAATATATCTTGTTACTCATCATAGTACCCTTTTATACAGTTTTATTTGAATCATGTGATTTATTTACTGTATTCCACCTAGCATCCCTTGAATGCTTTGTGATTTCATAAATGTTAATATCAAATGGCTCAACCATTAAGCCTTATCTGTCTAGCATTGGATTCACAGCATACAATCATTCTAGAATCTTTTCTCATACACTAGTGCTGTGCAAATTATTTCAGGACATCTTACTTTTTTATTACCCTTAATTCACATACCCATACATCATTTCTATAATGTTTTAGTGTAAACTCTAACATTCTGCTTGGGATATACAGGCTTTCAATTTAGGAGCACAAACTGTCAGTGGGGTTGATCTCCTGAAACCTCAAGAAATTATGCCTTCTAGTGAAACAGAGAGCAGGGTATCCCCATTATATGTTTTTAAAGATATGTCTGTCTCCTTCATTTAAACTTCATTATCTTTGTGCTTATTTTCAGAATAATCTGAATTCACAAATATATTTCCAGGGTTCTTCATTTATGAGGAGTATTCCACTTCTTTTTGCAGGACTGAAGAGCACAATACACTGTGATTTTGGATAGAGGTTTTCTTTCACATCCTAAAGTTAGTGAAAGCCAAAACATATTCTTGGTAAATTCGAGACTGTAAACAATCAGAAAAGGTAGCGGTAATAATGTAAATAGAAATGCTTGAGTTTTAGTTGTCCCATCTCCTGAAAGCTAAAGAATACATTTGTGCTTTTATCTATAGATTTATTTACTCTTTAAGATTGAGGGCGGCTTTAACTTTGATTAGTGATTGGCTCAACTTAACAAATAAAAATATCCTTTCTCTTGAGGGATGGGATTTATTATATGGATGGCACGCTTATTTAATTTATGATAAAAAAGTTGATCAGATTTTTAAAACCCGTATTTTGAGAAGTGCCTTGTTGCGTGTCTGGAAGAAATAGTATTATAGGTTAAATTATAAAATCCCAATTTGGGGGATTCCTGGACACGTGATAGAGGGAGTATCTAGGGGAGTGAATTTGGATAAGGTTTCTTATAAAGAATTACTTAGTTTGGTTGGGCAAGATTGGCAATTAAAGTCTGATTGAGCTGAAGCAAGAAAATATTGTACTCTTGGTTTCATTATAATCAATTGTTAGCGAGGTGGAGTTTAGATCAAAAGGTTAGTATTACTTTAGAGGATATGAATTTGGTAAAACAGATTAAAGATCAAAGTCGAGCTTATATAAAAAGAATTTATAATGCTTTAATAGAATTGGATTCTGAAACAGAATTAGTTAAAGACTGTGTGATCAAATGGGCACAAAATATTCAAGAGCCAATGTAAAATTCACTCAAGTTTTATAAAATGTTCTATAGATGGCATTTGGATCCCCAAAAGTTATCCTGCATGTATCTGAATTTACAGCCCAAATGTTGGAGATGTGGAAATTTAGATGCAACTTATTTTCATATTTGGTGGACTTGTAGCAATATTAAAGCTTTTTGGATTAAGATTTGGTGGAATATTCAAAAGATTTTTAAGAGAAAGATAAAGTTTATTCCGCAATTATTTTTGTTGGGTATTATTGTAGATTTTGATGTTAAAGAAACTAATTTGATGTTGAACCTTATAACAGCTGCAAGATTATTGGTGGGGCAATATTGGAAGAAAAACTTATTGCCTACTCTGGAAGAATGGATATTTAAAGTGTCTAATTTAGCAGAAATGACGAAAATCTCCACCTATTTGAAGGATCACTCACAAGAAAAATATATTATAGTTTGGAGAAGATGGATTGATTACATTCAGAAGAAATATGAGATTGAAAAGTATTATCTTGCTTTTGAGTAGATCTTAGATAATTATTATTAGTTTTAATTATCTTATTATTTTTTACTTAATTTGTTAATATTTGTTTTGAGAAGGAGTTAAAGTGTGTTATGGTTTTGATTGATAGTATAGTTGGTTTATGTTAGTTAGATTATGTCTGTTTATTTTATTTTTTATCCTGTAATCAGCTCTGGGAAGTGGGGGAGGGGGGAAGGGGTGGGGGGGTTCATATTGTAATAAATTTATAAAACTTTTAAATAAATAAAAAAAAGATTGAGGGAAATAATAAAAGACACACTATACTTACCAACACTAAGTGCTCAAACCTAACCATGTAAAGTTAGTATGATTTTGTCAAAATAAATGCAATCTTAATACTTTTCTTTATAAATTTCTTTATAAATTCAATTTAAGGCTATTTAAACATTTACAACAAAACTACTTTCTCAGTTTGTAAGTCTTATTCGAATTATGGTATGTGAGATCAAAACAAGCAATATTAATATTTAAGTCAACTTTCTTAAAAACATGTTGCAATTCTCCCTTGCTAAACCGCAGTGACAAAAGGAATCCACCTCAAAAGAGTTTATTGTGGAACGTTACTGATATAAAACTAAAAGTCTACATAATTAAACAGTTTTACAAATTCTTTGATTTAAAGCTGGTGACGTTTTAAAAAGCACAAGATCATATAGTACTCATTTTTTTCCACAATTTTAAGATATTTTAGCCAGGATGGCCTAGTATAAAAAAGTGTAACTCACGAAGTATAGTTAATACTATTAATTACATCCGTGAGTACACTTTTATTCCTATCAGTTTCAAAACTGATAATTAAGCAGCACACACAGCTAATGAATGGTCCCCACTGATTGGATATGTAAGGCAATACTGTACTGTACTGAGTATGTATTTGTGGCAGTAATTGAGATGCAGCTGGATGTCTGTTTAATCACCTGATTCAAGTACAGTTTTAAAAACATCTCTTGAAAAAAAAAATCCTCCTATTTTAAGTGTGAGCTGGGAGAAAGTTAAAATGTTAGAAACAAGTGTCAACATGCAGTAAAATGTATTTTAAAGCTTAGAAACACAACCTTGTATTTAGAAAGTTTAAGAACTCCAATTGTTAAACATGAAATTTTCTGGTAAGGAATTAGAATACAGAAAAATCTAGATTAGATAAATCATGTAAACATGTCTAGAAATAAATAACATATAAATTCAAACATTGAGAAACATATCATATACAAACTTCAAATGAACTCCAACTTCAAATAACTTTTGTCAGTAGGGCTACATAATTGTCAAGTATGTTTTGTCACCAATATTAAACTGCAAGTTTTTCTATCTTTACAAATGACAAACATGAATATTTCAGGTTTTTTGTATATATTGTTGAGTCAAACAGTTTTAAGAACAGCTCTGCTTCTTCTAAAATGATGTGCTCTCTTCTCCTACAAATAAAGATTAAAGAAAATAAATTAAAGTGCAGCCAGATTCAAATTAAAAATTTCTTATTATTTACTTCTAAAAATAGAGCTCTTGGATCAAAGAACAAACCAATTTAAGGAAAGCCTGGAAGTAAAAAGCTATCTGTGTAGTTTCTTTCCATACTTTGGGGCAATTTAGCAAGGTAACAAGTAGTTATTAATTACAAGCTATTTATTCACATTATTTACTGTATTGTAAAAGTTTTTATAAAGATCCTCTGGAACAGCATTTTTGTCCATATTGTAAAGGTTCAAATAGATGGTATTAATTTAAGGAACTAAGGAAATAAATATTATTGATGTAAAAACTTTCTCTAAGACAGGATTCCTTATCTTAATTATAAGGTGGCCTTTCGGTTTTTTTAAATTTTAAAAAAGGGATTATCTCTGCCATTAATTCTACACACTTGGTTGAGTTTTAGGTATAAGACTACCTTTCTGCTATTTTCATAATTTATTAGACTGTTATTTAAGTATCAAATGCTAATTAGATATACAAAACTGACCTAAAATGTAACAACATATATTTTATATTTTAGATTAAATTAGGCTAAACTGTTTTGGTGTGTGACTATAATAATATATATAAATGAATATTCATTATTTATTCATTTATTCTGCAGTGAGAAAGTAAAAGTAGAATTTATTTATGCATTCTCTATTATAGCTTTGTGATGTGACGCTGCTGTCAAATTTCCATCATCAAAACAGTACAAAAAGCATTTGAATACCAAATTAGAATGCAGCAATAAATCTATAAAGGAGGTGAGTACTTAACTGTAGCCATCTCTGTCAAATCTGGAGTCAGAATATTTCCAGTACATACTATCACTGTAAATTTGACCTTCTCTAATAATTCTTAGTAACAGATCTCTTAAGCAGTCTTATCTTTCAGTTTTATTGATACCTTAAGATAGTCCTCTTGAGTTACAATATTGTTCCTCAACCGATTATCTGGATTACATAGACACGATACTACTGTCTGTATGCTGCGATCCACAGATTTCTAAAACAATTAAACTTTATTAATATATTATGAATATTGTGTGTTAGATGTTTTCTAATGCCTGAACAAATGTTGTATGAAGAGATAACCCTCAGTTTACTTTATCTGCTTCCATTTTCATCCTTTGAAAGCCCTATATGTATGAATCTAAATCTGATTATAAAACAGCCAAATTTCAGAGTCAGAGTTAATCTTGGGTCAGATGTATTAAGGATGGACATTTTAAAAATTGTCTTCAAGAGCTGCTAATGCATTGTACATACAACCTGATGTAGTTCCAATTGTATGTCTGCATACTCTCTTGTAATCCCTTTATCCCTAACCTTTTAACTGTGGGGGAGAGAAATAAAGCCAAGCAATTTCTGTAGGTAATATCTCAAGAGAGTAAACAAGTACACAATGGGGACTAACCAGGCTGTTTACCATAGAGCTCAACAAATGCCATTGCTTTCAGGTTCAATCCCCATTGAGTCCCTGTTTACTGTCTTATAATCCCTTTTCTATCCACTGAATGAAAATACAAATAATTCCCTTCTTTTTAATTATCTCAGCCCTAGATGAGCATTCCAAAGAATGGGGAGTGGTTAGTAAGCAAAAAAAAAAAAAAAAACATAGGTGCAAAACGGATGAGTCTTGACACCTTGGAAAGCACAGCTGCAATCACCTGATTTCCTACTTAGTAAACACTTTAGTTAGTAACAGAATTGTAAATTCCAATTGTGGTTGGTAAACAAAAACTACCTGTACTATTTTTACTTTGCTCTTGCTTTTCATTTATTACACATCCAAAGTTTAATTATTCTTTATGTAAAGGTGAATCACAATATAATTCATTATTACCTTTTGTGGACTGTTTGCACATGACTGTGCAGTGTCAGTCATAGAACACTCTGCTTGGTCAGTTCCTACATCCATTTCACTACCATAATTCACTGTAGTATATGCCTGTTTAAAAAGAGTTAATAGAAATGGATGCTATCCATTTTATGAACTGATCAAAGAAATCTGAAATAGAAACTACAGAAAAAAATTCAATATTGCAAGTTAGAAACATACATAAAACTTAATTGTAGCATTCATTCATTCATTGCTTATACAACGGTACCTAGGTACTTGACTGCTTTGAAACTTGTTAAATTTGGTACTCAACATATTTTCACATGAAAATTTTATCCTGATACTCATCATTTGATACACAACACACAAACTAGAATTTGTCACTGTCAGCTGTTCTGTGATTCACTACATTATTCCTTATGGGAAAAATTTGTTTGGTACTCATCGCACCTCCCGGAACCAATTAACAATGAGTACTGATGTACCACTGTATTTGGCAGACATGTAGCAATTTGATCCTACTGAAAAATACCAAGACATCACGTTGGAAATCGTGGCTTCATTTATAATCAAATTAGTTAAAGTAATCATGTAAACCAATGCTTCAGTAGATAGACTCAAGTTCATTTCTAGCAGCAACTTTATTGGAATACATGTTACAATGTACTTTGTACTGCAACAACTACAGAATTATTCAGCCAGTATAGGACAGTGTTTAGTTTATATCTATAGTTATGATCTGATTCCTGTGACAGTTGAAACTGTTAACCAGCAAGGCCGATGGTGACTGTACACTCTACATTTTATCTATATGGCTATGTAACCATCTTCTGCCACCAATCTCTATGGCTCTATAATAATCCTCTGCTACCATTTCTATAGAACAGAATTTTCTAGCAGGTTATGGGCCCAGGTAAACCAGCTTCAACCCAGGTAGACCAGAGATGAAATCAGTATAAAACCAGAGATGAAACCAGTATAAAACCAGAATAGAGGACAAATATAAAATTCAGCACAGAAAAAAATAAACCAATCATAGCCAGCTACAGCAAATAAGTGCAAGACAGCAACAGAAAGAAGACTGTAACAGAATAAATAAATAGAAGAAAATGGCCAGTGACAAAGCTGAAACAAACTACCAGTCTTGGAAATTCAAGATGAAAATGGTGCTAATAAGGGAAGGTACATGAAAATGTATAAATGAAGTTATGCTAGAGCAGCCTTCAGATGAATCGACAGAGAAAGATCAAAAAGATCAGAGCGTAATCTCTCTTAGCATAGAAAATTATCAAATCATACATGTATGTAAATGTGAAATTGCTAAAGAAGTGTGGAAAGGATTACAAAAGGTGCACGAAGTAGTTAATCTAAGCAGCAAACTGCATTTTAATCTAAGCAGCAAACTGCATTTGATTAGAACAGTGGTTCTCAACCTTTTTAATGCCGCGACCCCCAACCAGTCGTAAGTCGAGGACTTTCCCTGCCTGGGAGCGCTGCGCATGCGTGGTGCTGCCCCCTGCGCCAGCCGAGGTGTAGCTGCCAAGCGGCAGAGATGGAGCAGGCCGACCACTGGCTGGACCACAGCTGGCCCAACCCAAGGGAGGTAAGGCACCCGCTGGGCCCCATGCACGCCAGCAACCCTCCCTGCACCCGCCGCCCTCCCATCTCCCATCCCTGGCCCTTTTTTACTTACATTTTTAGTAGTTGCTCAGCAGGGAGGGGTGGAAAATTCCAGACAGCTCACCTTTGCTGCAGACCACTTGCAGCACCGTTTGCAGAATGGGACTTTTAGCGGGCTAAGCAGGGCAGAGACAGCCTGGACAATTCCTATTGGCTTTTGAAAGCCAATAGAATTAGACTTTATTCAAGAGAGTCTATTCCACAGGTCGGCAACCTGCGGCTCCGGAGCCACATGCGGCTCTTTGAGCCTTCCCCTGTGGCTCCCAGTCTTCTCTGCCTTTGCAGAGAGAGACAGAGACAGAGACAATTGCGCTTCTCTGCTTCTCTCTCTCTCTCTCTCTCTCTCTCTCTGTGTGTAAAAGAGAGTGCACTCACAGTGTTCTCCGAGGAGCTGAAAAACTTACTGGGCGGAGCTCCTCCCTTTGCTGCGTCTCTGCAGGAAGGGCAGGAGAGAGCTAGCTAGCCCAGCTAGGCTGATTCAGGAATTCTGGAAGTTGACGTCCATGAGTCATAAAAGAGACGAGGTTGCCTACCCCTGAGCTTGTTGGACAACAGCTTGAAGCTTGCCAGGTGGGCAGCAGAAAGGAGGGGGGGGAGAAAGAGAGAGGGAGGGAGGGAGAGAGAGAGAGAGAGAGGAAAGAGAGAGAAAAAGAGAGTGGGGGGAAGAGGAGTGGCAGACCAAGGGCAGATAGAGAGGGAGGAAGAGAGAGAGAGACCCTTTTGACATCTAAAATGAAGATAACACTGCATATATCCTTTTTTTACCTGTATGTGTATGTAATTTTATTCTCTTAAAGCATTCTCTTGGTGATCATTGTTTTAATAGTATGGATATTCCCATACTTTTATTTTTAATGTGTGTGTATGTATGTATGTATGTATGTATGTGTGTATGTATGTGTATACACACACACACACACACACACACACACACACACACACCTATAATAAAGGTAAAAAAGGATATATCCAGTGTTATCTTCATTTTAGATATCAAAAGGGTTTTGCGGCTCCCGGTGTTTTGTTTTTGGTGGGAAACCGGTCCAAGTGGCTCTTTGAGTGTTTTGGGTTGCCTACCCCTGCACTAAAGATATAGCCAATGCTACATATTCTGCTTTATTAAGTAAAGTTGTCTCAGAGTCACAAGTGCTGTCTAGCGTGACTCCATGTCGAGAACGGTTCGAGTGAGCTTGTTGTTTGGAAAGCAAAACAGGAAACAGCCAGCTGAGGCAACACTGCGCTTCACTAATATTAGCAGGAATTTAATTAAAAGTTTCTTGACCACATGTAAAAAACCATCCTTGCAGTAGCCAAGCATGTCCAAAATGAAAGGAAGTCTCTTCAAAAGCTGTGCAGTTTAAAACAGGTGAGCCAATGTGATGACAGTGAGGTTTTTTATTTGAAGAAGTACAATTAACTATTTTTGCACATGTAATATTTGCAGGGATTGCTACCACCAGGGTATCCAAAGCAATAGCATCAGGGGGTAGATAATAAGTAGTAACCCCCTATCTAGATATAGCCTTATAGTTAAAGTTCCCATTGAATAAAATTCTGCTATCGTCAGTGAAGTTTTGAATTACTGCAGAAGGGGTGAAACAGGGACTAAACATGTAGAAAAAAAATTTTCCATGTCATACATTTCAGATAAACAAAAGACATCATTTTGTGTGATGTTAGATTTTGCTTCATTCATTGCTCGAATGGTTGTTTGGGTGGGATTTGAGGGCTAACACACACTGAGGTATTAACAAATTAATTCATTCAGTTCCATGCTAACTGCTTGTATAAACAATTCCACATACAAATATTTCATTTCATACTTTCTCCAGGCAAACCATGTATTCTTAATAAGGCCTTTTTGTTTTGTTGTTATCAGAGAAGGTTTTGACCATCTTCCAAGTCTTGGAAATAACATAGAACAACACAGACAAACATATATACACAAATACTGTTAAAACAACATTTATTTAGACATATGATTTGTCCTGCAAGAAGCGAGAAAAACCATGAGGTGATTCCAGCCAAAAGTGGTTTTGAGGGCCTTTAATCATCTCCTATTTTTCTCACCATTCCAAGTCCAAGCATAATGTTCTGGATGGCCACACACACACACACACACACACACACACACACATACATACATATATATATATAAACACAATACTACACACCAACACAAAGCACCACCAGACATTGTCTGACAGGGTTAAACTTAACAGCCACATGAAGTTTCAAAACATTCCAATTGTTCAAAATACATTGCAGAGGAGTACATTTTAAGTTAATTTATGTCTTTAAATTACTCTGACATTCCCCTTATTATCTTTTTTCTACTTCAAGATAGTTCCGCTAATATTTTCCTTGTGGGGGTGTATGATGGCTGGGAAGAAGTAAAAGAATTAGCCTCTTCAGAAGGAGTTGGAAATCCAATTAAAGATACGTTATGAGGAATAAATTTTACTTGGTTGTAATCAGAAGGGGGCTGGTAGTTAACTGCTGCCCTTTTGAAGCATCTGAGCCACATTTTTCCACTGCTTGATAGCACTGAATACCATCGATGTCTGTACTGAAGTCCAAGGTTCAAGATGTAAAGTATGCCCTATCTTTTAGCCTAAGCATCCGGTGCTCAGGATTCCAAGGGCAATGTTTCCCTACCTCAGCCGCCAGCTTCCTTATGTCTGCCTCAGGCTCTAGCAGGAATCTGAGTTCCTGTGCCTGTACGTGTAGCAGGAATCTGAGTTCCTGTGCTTGTTTCTGCTGGTGCTGAGATAACTTGTGACCCATACTTACCATTGAGAGGTCCCATAGGATGAAAGTGCACTTAAGGGTCTATTCCAGATGATGGTAAGTATGTTGGTTGTCGCTCTTCCCCGGAGGGGGTTCCCAAAGGTCCCTGTTCGGGTGCCAGCTGTAGTAATCAGTGCTCAGTCGTTGCACGTTGCAAAAAATCGCTGCTCGTACGAAGCATTTATTGCCTTTTATACAGTATTACAAGCAGCAAAAGTTTTACATGGCAATAACATTTCATTGGTTAACTCCTTACCAATCCTTAAGAATATAGAAGCCAGAGGCCCAAAACAGGGAGCAGTTTGGCAATAACATCTTGTTGGTGTGAGCAAGTTAATATCAAGCAGGCAAGGTCATTGCATCAGCCTGCGTAGCTTCACATCGCCATGGTGATGTGAAGGAATGAGATAGATGCAGAGAGGATGGGCACACAGACTTTGGAGGAACAGTTTTCTGCACATGACCTCTGCCTGGCCCCCACCTCTACATCTCCTTTGCCGCTATGCTACAGCATTAGAAACAGCCAGACACCTACTAAAAGATATAGTGTCACAATTTGGCCAGATATGGATAGAGAAAAACATTTTGTGGCACAAATTCTCACCGACCTATATCAGGCCCTTGGCATCACCCAAAATGTACACACCCCTTTTTCTCCAACCAGTTCTGGAAGTACAGAAAGAGCTAACCAGGAAATAAAAACTCTCCTGGGTAAACTCTGCCAGGAGACACATTTAACATGGCCACAAGCCCTACCCATTGCCTTGTTTTTATCTAAGAACCAGACCTCGACGAGACATGGGTCTGTCACCATTCGAACTACTTTTCGGCCGCCCACCAGACACATTAAAAGGACTAGACTCTCACTCCCTTAACCTAGAAAGGGGGGATATGGTTCTTTCTGCTTATCTTTCAACCCTTCACCAAAGACTGCGAACCCTTTGGAAGCAGAGTACACTGACACAGACTCTGCCCCTGGAGGAGGCCCTTCATCCATTCGAGCCAGGAGAAGGTGTGGATCAAGACATTTGCTAGGCAATCCCACTACAGCCCAAGTGGAATGGACCCTTCCAAGTCCTATTAACAATGCAAACCACCATTAAGGTCACTGAAAAGGACGCCTGGATTCACTGGACCCACGTAAAGCCAGCCGTATTGGACTACAGCAAGGATCTGATTCCAGCTCGAAAGGTGCCACCCATAAAGCTCAGAAAAGACACAGAGACAAGCAAGTGGCCGCTGAGAAGATGGGAGGGAAGGCTATGGGAGTGATGGGAATGGGGGTTGTTAGAGTTTGTTTCATATTATTATGTATAATGTTGTATCAAGACTCTTGGAGGTAAACCTCCTTCCAGAAAAGGGAAATATTTGGGAGTATTTATTTTGGAAGATTCTAAATACCACCCACTTCTGCCTAGCAGGGGAAAAATCTGTAAAGGACATTCTTACTACCTGCCTCATAGGTGCAGCTTCAGGACCACACGCTATATTTAATTATACCAGGCTGAGAATTTCGACATGGAAACCTCATATAATACCATTTTTGACTGGGGAAACACTACAACTTCTAAGGACCAGAACATGTACACCCTGAAAATTGCCGAGGTAATACAGGCTGCTTACTGCTTCAAAGTGGCTATAGGGAACACAGGGACCCCAAGTGCGAGGATCTCAACAATAGGGAACTCAGTTGCAATTACACTGAAACCATTCCATTCACATACAGCTACATAAAACTCCCTTTAGGATGGTTCCTTTTATGCGGGTTGAAGGCATACTCCTATCTCCCAGCTAATGCAACAGGAGGGCCATGCACCGTAGGGAGACTAACTATGGTAGTGCCTTCTCTCCAAAGACGACAAAAGAGAGATCTGCAGGAGCTGACCCGATTGTGACCCAAAAAAACCTGGCTGTTAATAAAAGCAGAATACGGCTGGCCATCTCTTTGGTCAGGGTACCCACCTGGCAGTACATAATGCCAGGGCCCTGAACAGCCTAGCTTGTGCACTAGTGAAAAGCTTAAATTCGACTTCCCAAGCGTTGGATGCCTTGAATCAGGAACTGAAACAGGTAAAAGAGGCTACACTTGAAAATCAAGCAGCCATTGATTATTTGTTGCTAAGACATAATCATGGGTGTGAAGAATTCAGAGGATTCTGTTGCTTCAACTTAAGCAAACACTCACAGCTGATAGAGGGTGATATCCGATGGCTAAAGGAACTTACACATAAAATTGGATATGAAAATTCTCCCTTTGACTTCTTATCAGGACTTTTTGATTGGCTACCAAATTTACATTGGCTAAAAATTCTCATTCTGGGTGCAATCACAGCTACTGGTGCAGGTGTTCTTCTATGTTGCCTTTTTCAGATCTGTCTTAGTTTCCAAAGAACATGTTTCTCACTAATTCCAAAGCAAAACACCAAAGAAAAGCATGTTTCCGTAATGATGAGTCAAATTGACCATGATTACCAGATTTACAGTAATAATGAACCCGGTTGGGCAGAAGGGAGAGAAACAACACCCCATTCCTCTCCTTTGCCCAGAATGGGGGAATTGAGAGATAGCTAGCCATTAGCACCCAAATGAAACACTGTAGACATCAGAGCTAGCCCAAACCCTGAAAGAAGTGGGCAATTTCGTTTAGAAAAAGAAATCTTACAATTAAATATTTTCAAAAAGAAAATATTACAAAGGAAACCCAGGCCCATAAAGGAAATAGATGATCCCAGGAAAGGTGGGGAACACCTCAAGAAAAGACCACTTAAGGGATAAGCCAAACCAAATTTAAATACCAAAGAAAAGTTTTTCCCTCCCCCCCCCCAGCAATTCTAGGCAAGACTTGTTTAGCTAAAAGAAACATTCTGAGGACAGGAAACTGCAGACACACACCTTGGACAAACAATCAAACCCCTCAATCCCACCAGATAGGAGCAATATAATGCTAACAAAACAGACATTAATCACATATAGAAACCCATTTGCATAAACAAAGAAACATTTCCTAGGAACAGTATTGAATGCTCCCTGTCTAAACAAGCACAAACTAGGAGAGATCAGGGGAACAACTGCCTTTACAAAATCTAAATCATAATCTCAATAACTCAAGGAGTATAAAAACAGGACCCTTCACCTTGGGAAGGCACATTCTATTGGCTTTCAAAAGCCAATAGAATAAAAGGGAGTAGCACAGCTAAGGAAAAGGGAAAAAAATGGCTGCGTTATTTGGCGACCCCCATGAAATGGTCATTCGACCCCAAATGGGGTCGCGACCCACAGGTTGAGAACCGCTGGATTAGAAAGCTATATCAAATCAAGCTGATGAAAGGTTAGGATTACATAACACAAGGCACCCTTGGAAATGGTTGAAGTCTGAGAGGTATAGGAGAAGAAATAAAAGATTTTCATGTTGCAGTACTATTACTCAGTGGTTTATCAGAAAATTATGAAACATTTGTCACAACGCTTGATGACAGAAATTTAATTACTCACCTTGACCAGAGTAAAACAGAAACAATCACACCACAGAAACAAATAATCAGAAGTAATAGGTCAGAGATGGTTTTCTTTACTGTCTTATTTCTCAGAGTGTCACCAGAAAGTTATTTGTGAAAAATATACTAATCTTTGCTCTTGAAACTAATCTTTTGTCAATGAAGCTCACAAAACAAGGCAATGTAGTGACCTTTAAAGAGGAAGTTTTGTTATCACAAAAGGGATATCTTACTTACAAAGGCTAAAATGACAGATAGATTGTATCAGCTAAACTGCAATCAGGTAGCTAATACTTCCAAATAGAAAAAAAACATTCATTCACTTGGAAACAGAAGTCCTAACATAATAAAGAAATTAACTGAAAAAGATGATCTAAGTGGAATGAAAGAAGAGCTGGCATTGGGCCACAAGAAGTTTCAATCAGGAGATACACACAAAGCATAAAAGCATCCCAGCCAAAAGTCTGTTCTATGTTGCAGAAACATAAAGGAGAAAGAGAAAGAGATCCTGGTCCACTAGTCCAGCCAGAGCATAACCAGAGCCCCAAGCAGCTCCAGTGTCAGCTCTTCAGAGAGCCAAGGCCAAAGCAGCAGTGCTAGCTCTGTGGAGAACCAGAACAGCAAGAAAAGGAAGAAAAAGGACAAGAAGAAATATAAAAATCTGAAAACAGAACTAAGAGCTAAAATGGGGCTATTATAAGGAGTAGTTGTTGAGGGGGGATGTTGGAATACATAATAATACTAACAACAACAACAAAATTGGAAGGGACCTTGGAGGTCATCTAGTCCAACCCCCTGCTCAGGCAGGAAATCCTATACCATTTCAGATAAATGGCTGTCCAGTCTCTTCTTAAAAACTTCCAGTGTTGGCGCATTCACCGCTTCTGGAGGCAGGTTGTTCCACTGGTTAATTGTTCTAACTGTCAGGAAGTTTCTCCTTAGTTCTAGGTGGCTTCTCTCTTTGGTTAGTTTCCACCCATTGCTTCTTGTCCTGCCTCCAGGCGCTTTGGAAAATTTCTTTCTGGCAGCCCCTGAGATATTGGAACACTGCTATCATGTCCCCCCTCGTCCTTCTCTTTGTTAAACTAGACATACCCAATTCCACCAACCGTTCCCTATATGTTTTAGCCTCCAGTTCCCTAATCATCTTTGTTGCTCTTTTCTGTACTCTTTCTAAGAGTCTCAACATGTTAGAAAGTATTTTTTGTATTGCAACAATTACAGAATTATTCAGCCAGTAGATGGCATCTATGGTTATAATCTATGGTTCCCTTACGTTCTGTCTGAGGAGTTTCCTGTAGGCAAGATCCATGTTGACTGTATACTGTACACTTTATTTCAGTATGTACGGTTATGTAACCATCTGTTGCTACCAATCTGTATGGCTATATAATAATCCTCTCCTACCATTTCTATAATAAAACAGAATTTTCTAACAAACATAAAAGATTAGCATCATTTTTTTAAAAGTGCTACAGAATCTGATCCAGACTATTTAAAGAAAGTGTTCCTCCTAAGTACATCCAAATACTTAGGTAATTTTTTGGAGCTTCTTTGATTGTTTCTGCTAAATTTCAAAAATACCTTGAAGTCACTGTTTAATAAAATATCAGAGAAATTATGTTCATGTAAATCTAACATATATGCCAATATAAAAATACTCAGTAGCTAGTACATAAATAAGGATGGCAGGTCTCCTTTGATCATTGTAAATATTAGCCACTGAATTTAAATAAAAACAAGAAATGTGACTTACCGGCACGATATAATTTCTTAGTTCTCCAGGAGGCCACTGTGGTGGAATCTTAAAAAAACAGTAAGCAAAGAAACTATTAACAGATTTTTAGCAGAATATAGCATTTAACTTGCTTGATAAAATAATAGGAATACAATAATGCATCTTTGAGTAGCAGTGTCTATGGATATTCTCAATTACCCAGGTCATGGTTATCCCAAAGGTGCTTTTTCCAAAAGGCAACTGGACTTTGTTTGAAAACATTTTGTTGAAGAACTGAAGAAGCTTCTTGGATGAAAAGTGAAAACTTTTAAAACAAAAAAACTAAGAAAGTCCAGTTGCCTTTTGAAAAAAGCACCTGAGGCTTTTCCCTCTTGCAATGAAGCATCTTTGAGTAGTAATTTTTAGAAATATGAATGTCTGTTTTCCAAATTTAAAGTTGGTACCCTAAGCTAAGCAACCAAGTTTACACAACTCAAAACACAGGAATAGTAAAATGAATGATCAAGTTTATAGGGATGATAAAATTTATTTGCTTGCTTGTCAGGATTATAGTGAGGGAGAAAATTATTTGATCTCTTCCCACTGACAAAGAAAGGATCAGTCTATAATTTTAATGGTAGGTTTATTTTAACAGGGACAGACTAACAAAAAAACCCAGAAAAATGCATTTCAAAAAAAGTTATAAATTGATTTGCATTTTAATGAGTGAAATAAATATTTGACAACTTTGCAAAACATAACTTAGTACTTGGCAAAATACTTGTTGGTAATCACAGAGGTCAGACATTTCTTGTAGTTGGCCACCAGGTTTGCATACATCTCAGGAGGGATTTTGTTCTCACCCAAGATTTGATGGTACATGGCCCCATCCATTGTCCCTTTGAGGCGGTGAAGTTGTCCTGTCCTCTTAACAAAAAAACACTCCCAAAGCATAATGTTTCCACCTCCATGTTTGACGGTGGGAATAGTGTTTTTAGGGTCATAGGCAGCATTCCTCCCCCTCCATACATAGCGAGTTGATGCCAAAGAGCTTGATTTTGGTGTCATCTGATAACAACACTTTCTCCCAGTTCTCCTCTGAATCATTCAGATGATCACTGGCAAACTTCAGATGGGCCTGTACATGTGCTTTCTTGAGCAGGCAGTGCAGGATTTCACAGATCCTCCTGTGTAGTTCTGTGCTGATTCCTCACCATTCTCATAATTGAAACTCCATGAGGTGAGAGTCCCAGACCAAGGGAGATTGACAGTTATTTTGTGTTTCTTCCATTTGCGAAAAATTGCACTAACTGTTGTCATCTTCTCACCAAACTGCTTGGTGATAGTCTTGCAGCCCATTCCAGCCTTGTGTAGATCTACAATCTTGTCCCTGACCTCCTTGGTCAGCTCTTCACCATGGTGGAGAGTTTGGAATCTGATTGATTGCTTCTGCAGAGAAGTATCTTTTATACACATAACAAGCTGAGATAGGAGCACTCCCTTTAAGAGAGTGCTCCCTAATCTCAGCTAATTACCTGTATAAAGACACCTGGGAACCAGAAATCTTGTTATTTGATAGAGGATCAAATACTTCACTTCTTAAAATGCAAATCAATTTATAACTAATTGTTTTGTTGTTATTCTGTCTCTCACTGTTAAAATAAACCTACCATTAAAATTATAAACTGATCCTTTGTCAGTGAGCAAATGTACAAAATCAGCAGGGATCAAATAATTTTTTTTCCACTGTATTTCTTGCTCTGAACTATACCAACTCTAATCAGCTTGCATATTTTTCTTTGTAAATAAGATTAAATACATAAGAAAAAAAAGAATCTGCAATATTATCATTTACTGAATAATTCCTTAATAAATTCAACTCCATTGTAAGAGAGAACAGCCTGATAATATATCTGCCCTCTCCTAGTCCAAGTGTTTATAGCCCTCCTAAAACCCAGCAGCATTGGGACTGGGTTATCAGGTATCAGATGGAATGCTCAGATCTCAGATAGAATGATCCAGACAAAGGGAGTAGCAATTGAAAGTTTGCTTTTCTGGACCTTGTTTATTGCCTCTCCTGAAAGGGAACCTAAAGAGAATTATCCTGATCTTATATGCAATCAATAGACAATCCTAAGGTCTAACTTTGTTTAATATTGTATAAATAGTTTTAGATAGTTTAAAAGTCCCCACAACTGCTGACAGGTGCAAGGTATAAGCCCCTTATTTTGTTCTCCTCAAAATCTGGATTACTGCAGTTTAGTAACAAAAAAACTCATAACTGAAATACAATTCATATTTATCAAGAACTACTACCACCCAGTATATGTACAACCTTCTTCTTGCTTAGTTATTCCTACAATTACATTTCAAAATATCAAATGGCACGATCTGAAAGCCACATTAAATCATCTTTAGTTAAGATATGACTTAATTTCTAAGTTTCACTTCTATTTTTGGATACTAAAACTGAAATATACTCAAACCTGGTAATTATAAGTTGGCTGGTATCCTACAGGAACTTGTTGCTGAATTAATAAAGCTGGGGAACCATAAGGGTAGGCCTGTAAGTTCAAAAACAGAATTAATTTTAGATAGTTTTTTATATGAACAAGTCTGGAAATCTGTTTTGAAAATGTTATAAGATAGAAGTCATGGACAAACTATATTCTACCATAAAATATCTTATTGGTAGAACGTGGTTCATCATCCCAAACAAACTATATTTTGTGCATCAACCAGTTGGTGTAAATTCATGAATCTCTTATTATTTTGTGTTATCATTTTGTTTTTTAGTTAGCAATTCTTAGTTGGTTGCTGTTTTCAAATGTAATCATTAGTTTATATCACAAGAAGCCACAGCGACTGGCAGCAAATAAATTTAATAGTAATAATGCACTGTGTAACTCTCTATCTTTTCATGTTCACAAAAACAGAATATAAGTCTTCACTAATGTCTGAAAACTGTACAACAAAGTTTTATCTAAATACATTTACAATAGATTTAGAATGAGAAAGACCTATAGAAATTGTACATACAATTCTGAAAAAAATGTATTGACAAAATTTTCTGATAAAAAAATTGAAGGCATTTTAGGAAACCAATATAGCTAGTATCTGCAGAAAGATAAAAAATACCAAAAGAATTATGAATTGCAAGAGTCTAAAAACACAAAAGGGGTTTTTTTCTGTACTGTTGTAAAAGAAAGGGAGAAGCTATACTACAAGCAAAATTATTTTATAGGAACAGGTGACAGCTAGAGCAGGGGTTGCCAACCTTTCTGCTTGGCGGCCCAGTGAAAAAGGGAATGATAGGGGCCTTTATATGTGAATGCGCACACATACAAATGTGGCTGCGTGTGCCTGAATGGGGCTGAAAGCATGCATGCTCCACAAATGGGGCTGCTAGCACCACCAAGAGGCTTGCGGCTCGCCTAGTGCCAGCAAGAGGCTCACAGCTTAGCTAGCGTCAGCTGCATTGGCCAGCCACTCATACAGCCCAGTGGCCAAGAAGGTGCAGCCTGGTAGTGGGCCTCGGCCCATAGGTTGGGGACCTCTGAACTAGAGGGGAAAGCACAATACCTTCTGTTTCTTTCCTTCTCCCCCAAGTAGAAATGTATTTGACTGAGCATAAGCAAAAGGAAGGAATAAAACTTGAATTAAATAGATGATTAGGAAGCACCTGGCTATCATCAATGATGGAGCGGCATGATGGCTTAGCAGTTAAGACACTAGGCCTGTCAGCTACAAAACTGACAACCTGGATTTCAAATCCAAATGCTTTGTAACAGGTGAGCTCCCATTACTCACACCAGCTCCTGCCAACCTAGCAGTTTGAAATCATGCAAATGTGAGTAGATAAATAGATACCACTTGGCAGGAAGATTACTAGATCCACATTTTTATGTTGGCCAGATGAAAATATCTCGTAGACAAGACAGGGTCCCTCAGCTGAGAATTGGAGATGAGCACCATTCCCTTGAGTTAGTCAGGAATGGACAGGGGAAAATTTTAAACCCTTTTATCATGAATGAATGTAAGTTTATTATGAATCTCAGTTCAATTTCATCTGAGTTTTAAAGAAGCTTTTTCATAGAGATCCTTTCCAGAATATTAAGAGAAATTATAGAGGATGGGTATGGCACAAAAACATTGGAGAAAAGCAAATGTTCAAAAGGGGGGAAAAAGAAGCTCCCTACAACCACAAACTGATCAGTTTCAGGTAGCAAGGAAAGCTTAAGGATCCATTATAAAATCAGTCTTTGATCACTTAGAAAATAATTCATTATTTTGGAGAACTTGGCATGGATTTTTCAAGAATATATGTCAAATCATCAGATCAGTTTAGTTGACCATGGATGTGGAAGATACAATATATCTTCACTTCAGCAAAGCACCCAAAAATCATTTAGGAGACTCTACTAGAAAACATGGAAAAATATAAACTAACTATATAACCATTAGATTGACCAAAAGAATAAGTGAATGGCTCTGAAATAGAAGAAACTATTGAGTGACTTACAATAAGTCTCCTGTGTTATTCAATATAAACATTTCGAAAGAGGGATTTAAAAATATATCAACTTTTCATTTAACACAAATACAGAGATAATAGAGAAATCTTAGAAGACAATATACTGTTGATAGATATTTACAAACTGAAACAATGACACAAAACCGGCAAGATGTATTTCAACAAGGTAAAATGCAAAGGACAATTAAAGATGAAACTTAGGAAAGAAGGGTGAAGAATAATCACACAACATGTTAAAAAAAAAAAAAGGATGTTTGTGAATCACAAGCTTAACATGAGCCAGCAGTATGATGTGGCTCACCCCAAAAGGAAATGTTATTCTAAGGTGCATCAACAGAAGTCATTGAGTTAAAAGGGAAAGAAGTTATTGTATCTCTCTATTCCGCTTTAGTAAAATTGTACTAAGATAGTTGCATCCAGTTTTAACCATTGCATTTTAGGAAGAACATTGCCAAAATGGAGTGTTTCATAGGAAAGCAACCACAAGGGGCTAGTAGAAAAAAGTTATAAGGAAATGTTGCAGGTGCTGGATGTGTTTAGCTTGGAAACACAACAACCATGAGGAGACAAGACACGCTTTTTGATACAGCATTCAGAATTGTTCAAGAGTGGCCTTAAACTACAAAGGTGATTTTAGAAGTTCACGGCCCTTTGCATGATTAATGTTGTTACATCCTTTACACTATATAATACTGAGAATAGGAAAATCAGCAATAACAGTACAAAATAGAAATAATGATGGCAAATAATATTCTAGAAACCCAATGGAAATGTTCCATTTCATTAGTTTCTAGAGGCCTTCATTGATGGAGCCAACACATTTCCATATTGTTTCAGAAAGCAGATGTTATGATAAAAAGCAATACTTATTGGTCTTAGCCACCCTCATCCCTGGGAGGATCTCTTTGGATATGTCAATTCTAATAGAAGTAGGTAACTTAAAGCCTTAATTTCAAATCTTTTATAACTGTTTTAAGTCAACACTATTTGATAACAATATAGTATTATAAGGTAATTTTTTATAAACCAGTGATTTCTATCTTATTACATGCTTGGTTTTTAAAAAAAGTTTCTTTTCTTTATGCATTTATTCAGCTTTTTTCAATTCATTAACTATCTTAATTTCACTGTTTATCTTCTGTATTTTGTAATTTTGTTATAAAATACTATATAATAAAACAAAAGTCAAAAATACCATTTTGAATTGTACCCAGTAATTATGGCTACTCAACCCAAGATCTGAAAAATAAGTTTAATATTTTAAGAAATAGCAACAGTTAGCAAGTGGGCCATTGCACTTTGCCTCTCCTGTAGTCTTTAAGTGATCTTCAGAAGTAGCCCCATGCTAAGTAGATTACAAAAGTCTAACTGCATAGTGATAAGGTATTAATCACTGTAGCCATAGCTTTCCATTCCAGAAAGCTCTCCTGGCCATAGCTTCCATCTGTTCATCCAGCAGTAATCATGAATCCAGGACAATGTCTCCACATCCCAGACATGCTCAAGAAATAGTACTACTCTTTCAGAAGATAATGTGGGAAATGACAGATGAATAAACATTAATTCCATCTTATTCAATTGAATTTAACTTATGTAATTTTAACTCTTGACAGACTCCACAGGAAAAAAGGGGAAAAAAGTATTGACAGTATCCCCAGAATATTTCAAAGTAGGAATAGAAAATGGGAATAGTTTCTATTATATTCTTATAAAATGTTTAGATATTAATAAGCTTGTACTCCATGCATCTGAAATTATGCCAATTTAGCAGAATCCTTTTTAAACTAGTTATACAATTTTACTTTCTCTAAAATGCAATTAAATGAATTAAATTTCATTCTAAAAACCTTACCTGAACATATTGCGTGACAGGACTCATCACAGCTGGAGACTGCATATATGTTTCCTGGTTACTCCAACCACTATGGAACTGAGGTGTAGGGGAATTAATAAGCATTGGCCTGGGTGGCACATGATAGGCACCTTGTGAGATAAAAAAAATAAAGTTGTATTCTACTTTAAAAATGTTTCAATACTCAAATATATTTCACATTGCCACATAAATTGTTATCAGTATGCACCTGAGTTACATGAAAAGACTTATTGCACAATGACAGTCGTTTTCCCATATGCATCTTCCAAAAGAAAGCAGGTAACTGGTGGTAGAATAATAGTAAATATCTATGTTATATGTTTGTGCCTCCACGTATTTTTGCCATCCTTATATTTATCTAGAAACAAAACTGTTTCCTCTATCAAGAGCTTTTCTTTATACAGGCTGTCCAATTCAATAATACTCACATAAGTTTGGGTGTTTCCTTATTGCAGGTCCCAATTTGAGCTTCTTCCCATGAAAGTTTATTTGTGACTAGAAAAGAGTAATTTAAAGGTTTTGATTCATGTACTTTTCTCAACAGGCTAAATATTATCAATAGTTTTGATTAATACAACTACTTAAAGTCTGTAACAATTTTGTAACAGAATTCTATACTGGCAAATGTAAAAACCACCAGAGAATTCTTTTCTAGGTTATAAAATATGAATTTAGCTGTATTGACTAGCTGTATTAGACTTCTGAGACAGCTAAGGTCGAAAATGAGAAGATAAGAAGAGCTACAGTTCTCCACCTGTTACCAGAAGAACAAGAAAAACCAATGGTACTGAAAAAGTCAAATAAAGTATCTATCTAGCATTATTCCATTTGACAAATGAGTCAACAATAACTTGATGACACATAATCAATCATACTGGAAATATCTTAAATAAAAAAGCAATCATTGTGACCATAGGAGCTAGCAATACGATTATAAAACAACCATCTGAGGTGGGCACCCACTCTCCTGATCTTTCAGAAATACTTGAAAACCTGATCCTGCAATTCACTAAAGCCTCTCCTATATTTTTTAATTCTGGAAATTTTAATTTATTTTATTCTTGTTTTAACTGAATATATATTCATTGTCCAGAATTGCTCTATGTGGGACAATCTCTAAATGTTACATAATAAATAATAAAAACCCACTCACTATCAGAGGCATCTGATTAGTGAGGAAATGAGGTCATCGTGATCAATCTCAAGTCCATCCTTGTACTGAGATACTATGCCAGACACATGCACAGGGGTTGACATGTTAAAGCCATCAAAGATTGATAGTTATCACTGTAATACCTAGCTATCTTTCTGCTCAAACTTTTTCAATATATGCTTAGGAATTTGAATAATTATTCTAAACTTATTAGGAGTCACTTGCATTTTATGACTATCTCTGTATATAATTTATATACAGCAATGTATGCAGCTCATCTAGTTTTTGTTAGGCTGTATTACAAATATTAAGAGCATATTGACTAATTGAATAGAATTAATTGAACAGAAAAAAAAATTTCTAGGACTCAAGCTTCTGCAAGAAATGTAAAATCTATTATGTGGCCCAGTCTTTAGGTGAATTTTCAAAACACTACAGAATCAAATCCTACTGATATTACAGTTAACTATAGAACACAGAAGACTTTGATTACAGATGAAATTTTTCTTCAATATCTCCTAATATGGTACAGACATAGGCCATAAAGTAATAAAGCATTTAGATAGGGGACTGAAACACAAAATAGGAAAAGATTATTTTAAAGAATTTTAAATAAACTAGACTCAAGATAGTCTGGGAGACATTTCAAAACCCAATTAATCTTCACCTGCATTTTTTTCTGGTAAAAATAACTCAAATTTTGCAACTTGGATTACATACAGAAAGCCAGAATCCAATACAAGGAAACCACTTATCCAGTTTTCTTGAACTATTTCATTTTGTTCACCCTGAAAGCTGATCAAAATAGTGAGTCCAATCATTTCTTAGGTCCAAGTACTATTAACTGAATTGTAAACAAATTCTAATTATCAACAGTCTAATCAAATATCTCATCTAGTTTTTTTTCTTATGATTGCATTCCAAAAAAAGAAACCAATAGGTCTCTAAACAATTCCACGTAGATCCCAAATTAACTTACTTCTACTATTTTCTGTACATCTACATTATCCCAAACTAACAACTTACTTCTACTATTTTCTGTACATCTACGTTGTCCAAAAATGATACAAATCCATATCTATAAAGATAAAAAGTATATTAATATTCAATTAATACCCCACTATGTAATTTACTGTTGTCCATTAAAATGGCTGCATCTAGAAAAATAGAAGAGGAAGTATGACATAAAGGGATCAAATTAATAAGAACGTTTATATCCCTATAATTTCAAGAAAGATCTTACGCACTTCTCAAACTAGAAGACCAATGGCTACTTTTAATATGAAAGAAATTGAAGGTAAAACTTTTAAGTTGGCCCGTGGCCCCATTTCTAGTGATACTATCTATTTTTATTTTTAAAAAATCAATAACCCTCTATTTGATTCTACAATAGATTAAAATAATATACAATAAAATAACAATATTACAATTAAACATAATAGCAACAAAGAAATGGCTAATTAAAACTGAGAGCACCACTGAAGAATGAAAATTTATGCCTTATGCTCAATGTTGGAAGAGTGAAAATACACCCACAAATGACATGATTATGTATAAAATCTTGGAATGCGCAGAAATGAATAAACTTACATGAAAATTAAAAGACAAGGAGGCGACAGAATTTTATGAAATTTGGAATAAATGTTATAATTGGCTAGAACAGAGAAAGAAAAAGATATAATTAATGATGTAAATAAAATGTAAATAAGATGTAAAGAATATTTAAAATGTATAGCACTGTTCTGTTAAAAGAAAAGATTTATGTTTATGTATTTTAAGTTTGTTTTGGTGTATGGTGTATGGTGAAAAAAAAAAAGAAAGAAAATTTATGCCTGAAACTTATAGTTTAGTTTACAAACTTTTAATTCTATTCCACATTAATATCATTCATAACCAGTTAATCTTTGAATACTAGTGTTTGATCTAAGTACTATAGCTACTTAATGCCTCCATAATTATTTTTTATCAATGCCACCCAAACCAAACAACTTACCCTTTAGATACACCAGTTCTGTCAGTGATTATTTTCACTTCTTTAACTGTGCCATATCGTGTAAAAAAGCTCCGAATTTCTGTCTCATCCATCTAGGGATAAATTATGTAAAGGCATACTAAATATATGAAGGCAATACTACAGAAAGCCTTATAGTAAAATACTTCTAACTTTAAAAAAAATTCCAAATAACTATCAAATTATTTATTAAACAGCAATTTAAACAACACATACTAAGGATAAGAACATATGAAACATCCACTGAAAATTTTGGAGACAATAATACTTCTTTTACAATTCTGGGTTTCTTCACAGAAAGTATCACCAATGGGTTTATTTTCAGTTGAGATTGCAATATTCAACTGTGCAGAATTCAACTGCTTCAAGTTTTTGTGAATACACAAGACACAGCCTAACAACAGAAATCCTATTACAAAATAAATACATACCCTTACATCTATTCCACCCACAAAAATGGTATTTGGCATGATTTTCCCTTCAGGCAGAACATAGCCTTGGCTGGTAGCAGGTAACTGAGCGCTTTCTTCCCGTGGAATACTTGTGTTTTGAGAGTCCTGATTTGAAGTAGACTGCAAAACAAATTTTAAATTTTAAAAAAAATCTTCCTCCTTCTTAAATACTATTACACTTATATCTAAAAAATATTCCTCTTGTATATATAAAATGTGACACAAATGATGACAATACAAAGGATACCCAAGCATATATTCTACTGATCCAAAATAGAGGATCCTTGTTTTTACATTTCTCTAAAATTGTGGGCTATGTATTGGAGTATTTTCAGTTTCAAGATAAACTGCCCAGTTGCAACAATTCAGCAGCTTCCAAAGCTATAGAAGGATACACCTTGAATTGATAGTAGGAATTTGGTGCTCTTAATCAAGGTCATTGGAATTAAATTTATTATAGCAATCCTTTATATTAATGCTTTTAAACTACTATTTGCAAATAGGAACTTAGGAAACTTTTATGGAACAATCTCCCAATCAACTGATCAGAAGTGCCCTGTTAAAGAGTATAGTATTGAACTACCATATTTGGGCTATGCTGAATGAAGCTTATACGAACTGGAGTTCAAAATAACAAGTTAATCAAGTATATTTTGGATTGCTACAGATACAATTTCAGATAATGGTAAGTAAAACACAAAAACTTTTTAAAGCATCCATTTTATTAGTCTCAATATATGCTTGATATATACCAAGCTCAAGAAAAAAAACCACTATACTGAGCTCTTAAGTTAGTTGTAACTTGGGTGTTAATTCTTTTTGGGATTGAGCCTTTGCCAGTCTCCACTTAACATAGTAAAAAAAAAAGAAAGGCAGCCGTTATTTTTCCATTCCAAACTTGCAACACTATTGGCGGATTCAATGTCCGAGATCAACTTATTCCTTCAAATTCTGAAGATTTACTTTGAAATAAGTGCAGAAAGAATTGAAGTCTGATACCTTAATACTGGCTACCATCCGATCTACGTTTATCTTGGAGGAATTCCCACTGAAATCAAAAGGGGCTAGTCATATCTCCAAGACTACTTTAGAGATAGGATTTTCGCTAATCCAGGAAGAATTTCACACCCGTAAATTCTATTAACGAAAATTAACGCGCTCTCCATCCATAAAATATCCCCAGACGAGGGGGCGGGGGACGGAGTTTTTTTACAACTGTGGTCTAGCACGAACCCCGCAAAATGACTCGAGGCGGACATAAATCGATCGTTGACTCCCACGCGACGACAAAATGGTGATCGCGCCTCCACCTCAGAAGCATCTTCGCCCAGTTTTCATTTGGCTTTCCTCTGGTCGACGTAGCCTACCATCTCCATACATCCTTTGCACGCCTCCACCTCGAAGGATGGGGAGTGCAGCCACTTCCCGCCTTTTTCTTGCCCCCTTCTTCACAACGCCCCGGGCCTTCAGTCCCGTCCATTTGAACAACCTGCATCAAAATCTCCCAGGGTAAGTGGCTTTTAAAGCTGGGTTTTATAAAATATTTTCGCTTTAGGCAGCCCGTATGCCAAACTATGCTTTTTTATTCTCACTGCCTTTCCCCCCCCCCCCGGACCTTCAAACCATTTTTTAAAACACAACAAGAGTTGTATCACGGAAAAGCCAACCCATGGTCTACTTGAACTTACCATCTTACCGCACGTCAGAGCAAAGCCTTTCCCGCTAACAATAACTAAGACTGGTGTTCCCCGTTTTAAAGTAACAACCCCACAAAACCCCCACCCTTCCCCCCGAAAACACGACCTGCGCGCCTCTTAAGCCGACGCTTAATCAGAAAGTTGCCCAGACCCCGCCCCGAGGTGAGCAGCCGAGGTTTTGCCACACCCAGAGCTTCGGGAGTGGATGAGAGCTGCCTTTTAAAGGAAGGCGGGGGGAGAGGGGAGGGGGAAATTCTTTGGACGGTAACTTTTCTCATGCTTGCGTTCCCTCCGTTTTTAATCCCATGAAGGTATTTTGTTATTTTATTAAGCCATTGGTGGTAGCCTTCTTAGCGCTGTTAACATCATGGTCAGTTTAATAATTTTAACGCTGTTGGCTCCCATCCCCTCACTCCCCCCGTCACTTCTGCTGAGGTACATCTTGTGTCGTGTTTATTCATGTTTATCCTGCCTTTATAATTAGCTCAAGCCTAATACTAACGACAACCCTGTGAGATGAGTTCGGTTGTGAGGGAGTCTCTCAGAGTGACTGACCTAAAGTTTATGCCTAAAGCAGAACAAGAACTCGCACTCACCCTGTTTCTAGCCCTAGTGCTTAACCAACAACCAAAATTGTCTTTCATGTTGTCGCCTTGTGGCTTCCTTGTTGAAATTCGAGCAATGGAAGTGTTTATTATTCATCTGAACAGATCAGCTTAAAAGAGAAGAACTCTTGATTGTGAGACCATTTTAATATTTCCATTTAGAATTATTGTAATCCGAGTTAGTTGGAAGTACTATAGCACTTACCTTCTTCCGTCCTTAGCAACACTAAAATGGCCAATATTTTTGGTATTTTTATTGTTCTCAGTAGACAGATCCAGAAAAGTTAAAATGATCTAATTATGTGTTTAGTGGTATTTTTCCCAAAGTAATGATGTGTATATCACACTTGTCTTTTTGACTGCAGTGTAAAAGTTCAAATCTATATTTTTATTATATAAAATCATGAAATCTAATTTACTTTTGGAAATACTCCCCACAAAGTTACTACCAAATATACATATTTCTTCACATGAGGATAAATAAAATGGATTTAGCATCTATTGCACAAAAATGTATAATCAACAGAACAAAGCTTTATAATTTTTTTCCACAGGAACTTTAAAGTCCATAGAAGTCAGCTCTTTAATCAAAGATCTATTTATAATGAATCACCATAGTACAAAAATGTTATTTTATAGTATAACCCTTGCAAACCACATCAATCACACATCACATATATTCCTTGTAATGCATCAAAACCACTGTGGTTTGTGGATATCTTCTTTAAAATGTGAGGTGTCTGAGTCTTAGCATTTACACTGAAATCCAAGAAACATATTTGGGATTTGTTGGTGTTATTGGTAAATCCACCAGAAGATCCGTGACAAAGTATAACTTACAAGTTTCTGATTAATTTTTAAAGATGCAATTTCATAGGTGTAAATTAAGACCTGGACTTGTTTTAGTGGATGTTGTGCCTAAAAATGCATTTTATAGATCAAGTTTTCAAAAAGTTGTAAATGTGGAGCATGCTATTTTTAATAGGTGGTTATAGTTGTAATCCATATGTATTCTTTGTAAGAATCATAAAAATTCATGACAACATTTATCATGGTAGCTGTAAGAAGTGAATTTATAATTCAGTTTCAGCTTTAATTGTAGTCTGGGCGGGGACAACGCCATGTAAAAAAGTTATGTGCATTCTTGATTTTTTTAAAAAAATTCTATTATATAGATTTGCTAAATTCTTTGACTCTTCACAAAGTTTTAAACAAGTATATCTACAATGTGTGGTTACTAAGGGTGTTATAATCACAGTACTGTAGCTGAATTAAATTATTCCACTGGGGAGGGGTTCAAAATCTTTTTATTGCAAGTGTTCAGAAAATTTGTTAGGTTCTCTTAATTTTTATTGTTTTAATTCTTGAACCATCAGTTTTAAAATGTTGTTTTTGTGGAAAGTTTTACTCTTAAAGACAGTTTTAAATAATTACATGTACGTAGGGATTAAAATGGGTTGCATATGTACAACAGTATATAACAAGAATCACAATATCTTATGGGTAATTTGATTTTTAGATAAGTATTACTGGTAAAGGATTACTAGTTAAATATTTCATTAATTACTATTAATAAGATTTATACTTAGAAAGTTATAACACTATTAATTATTCCTAGATTCATAACTCTAGGGAATTTATCTTTCTAGCTATAACTCATAACATTTTCTACTTTCTTTTTTTCTTTGACTTGTTTTTTCTCTCATGGAGATAATAGGAAAAACATGAAACACTAACCTAAAAAGTCTCCTAAAAAGATAAATATTCCTCCCTTCTCATTTTCTACCTGGAGTGATAGGAATTTTTGAAGATGCTTGCAATTAGGAAGACATATATCTTATGTATAAAAATATAGTAATTCTGGTACCTGTCAATAGTAGACCCTTAATTAAACAAATGAATATATATATATTGTGTAGCAAAAGATTATTACTTTATACTATGTGTATAGAAAGATAAAATGCCATTTATTTTAAGTAAAGAAATTCTGTGTAATAAGAAAGTTTGGTGTAACTTTGAGATAAGAAAACATTAACAGAATTGAAAAGAAGAAGCTAAGAAAAATATATTTTAGTTTACATAACAAACACCTCCATAGATCCAGAATTAGTCAAAGTCAAAGAATTCTTAGTGAAAGAATCTATGAGCATATTGCTCCGCAGCACATCTGACTTAACCAAATACAAGACTGAAACATTCAGGATTAAACATTCAGGATTAAAAAGAGCCGAGGTGGCGCAGCAGTTAGAGTGCAATACTGCAGGCCACTTTACCTGACTATGTTCAGCAGGTCAGCGGTTCAAATCTCACCGGCTCAAGGTTGACTCAGCCTTCCATAGTTCCAGGTAGGTAAAATGAGGACCCAGATTGTTGGGGGCAATGTAAATATATATATACATTGCTTACTGGTGTACACCGCTTAGAGAGTGCTTGCACTTAAAGCGGTATATAAGTCTCATAAATAAAATAAAATAAAATTATGGATCTTGTAAACCTCTGCCTAACCACTTACTTTCAATTAGTTGGATAAAATTACCAACAAATTAAAGGTACACCTATGAGCTCACTGCTTTCAGGACTTATAGTGGAAGTCATTATGCAATGTCTAGAAGCCAGAGCACTTCCACAAATGCAACCTAAAATATAGATCAGATGTGTAGATGACATCTTCACCATAATAAAAAAGTACCAGTTAGAACCAACAACAACATCTTCAAAGGAATCCAGTTTACCAGAGAAGAAGAAAACAACAACTCACTATACTTTCCTGGACATACTGATCAGCAGAGATCAAAATGGTAAATTAGAAATACAAATATACAGAAAAACCTCCCACACCAACCAAAGCAACAACCTAACCTTCCACAGCAAAAGCTATGTAAGAATTTTATTTAGATGAGCACAAACTCATTGCAGCAACCCTGAACAGCAGAAAAAGAAAACAGAACATATGTACAACATATTCCAACAAAATGGGTATCCACGGGACTTTATCAAAAAGTACCTAACTATTCAACACAGCACAACCAACATAAGTCCAAAAAAGAATAATACTGCCATTTATCAAGAATATTTCAGAAACCACCAACAGAGTACTACAACTACATGTAATCAGTGTAGCACTCAAGCCAATTAAATTCCTTCAAAACATCTTAAGTAAATCAAAAGACTTAGCAGCCCCAAGAAAACAAAAACAGGAGTCATCTACAACAGGGGTACCCTACCCTTGGGCTCAGCCCACTACCGGGCTGCAGCCTGTTTGGACAGTGTAGGGGGAGGCAAGCATGCATGAGGAGCTCCATTTGCACAAGAGGCGGGAGAGCATGCACATGCAGCTCCACTTGCGCAAGCTATCAGTGCTTGCACTCACATGCAAAGTTCTATTTGTATGAGTTGCAAGCAGAGTTGTCTAGTTTCCTTATGTTGATGTTGAGGAATGGGAGTCTATTGTCTGTTTCCTCTTCATGTGTGAATTTGATCCCAGGGAATATGTCATTGAGTAGATGATGTATGTTCTGATCCTGAACTAAGATGCTTTGCAATTCTAGATCAGACAGATGACTCAAACAAAGATGATTATAAAACAGACATTTAATTCAGGAATACTGCTGAACTCAGTATATCTATCCATCTTTATTAGGTAAGAAATCAATAATTCCTCCATACCAACTTCTAACGTGGAATGGGACCCTGTATGTCCTGCGGTGGTCCCATGCTTATCTCAGACAAAGGCATTCCAAACTGGCACGTAGCCAGGATATCCTGTGAAGAACTTAGTAGCTCCTCCTACTGACCTGTTAACATGAGATTAACTAAAATAGCTAAACTACATTACCCATAAGCCATCTCTTAAGAAGACAGCGCTTAACCCAATAAATGCCAAACATTCTAACATACAGATCTCTATGCTCTAGTCAGGGTTACATTGATCCAGCACAGTGTGTTTCTTCAATTTTGGATTGTTTGATGATGACAAAGGTGTCATCAACTTAGTGTGTCCAGAATTTTGGTTGCATGGTGGATAGAGCTATGGATTTGAGTTGTGACATGATTGCTTCTACTATTAGGCCTGATATGGGTGATTCCACTAGAGAAAAAACACATGCAACCTCAAGACTCCTCCACACCCAGGTTCTACAGATTCCCTGAAATACACAAAAACAGGATCTCCTTACACCCAATTGTATCTCTGCCTGGAACACCAACGTACAACTAGCAAAAACACTGCAGAGGAAACTCAATGACTCACCCCACTCCATAAACCCCCAAGAACAATTTTCCAATGCATCAAACACACCAAGATCAACAAGAAAGAAATTATGGTCTCTTTTGACATCACTGCTCTCAATTGACATCAACCTGGCTAAACAAACCATACATCACCTACTCACTAAACACCATATCCACAAAAGATGAATGGCACTATGAACACTCCATGTCCACAGAAACCATCATAAAACTCCTGGGTCTATGCCTCAACGTATACTTCAAGTTCAATGGAAAATCTACAAGCAAGTACAAG